CCCTGTTGAGAAGTGAGTGGGATTCAGCCCATTCTAGTTTCAATGACTTTTGAAGAATGGTTCCATGTCGCTGTCATGTGAACTCTAAAAGGAACCAGGAGTCATTCGTGGAAATGGAAATCAGAGATTATTTTGAATGGGAACAAGGAAATGAGGCGATAAAGTGAAATCATTCAAGAATGACTGGCCATGCTGATTCAACAAAATTTCGAGTAGTAGAAGCTAGTATTATAGCTTCTTATAGTCTAGTAATGCAATTCGAATTGTTTAGCAACCAATAAAAGTCCAATAAAGTCAGAACCTGTATCACAAAAAAACTGGAGAGACGGGTAACTGCAAAAAAAGAGGATTTCAAAAGTGAAATACTGTTCTGTAATGAGTAGAATCAGAAATATTGAACACTGGGCTTCATAGTCTACTGAATTCCCAGTACGTAGATAGATAGAACGAACGAAACATCATGGCAGTTTGCTGATATACGAATTTCAGAGATCGAATTTTCAACGATAATGGTGTTTGTACAGGGCTTATTCACTGAACAAATCATGAAATCGTAATCATCCATGCACTTTTTCCTTGAAACTGAAAATGATACCATTCTGGATAGGAAGGGCCCACCAAAAGTGGTTTCCAAAGTTAGTCATTGTCAAGGTTAAAGAAATATACATTGTTATTGGGAAATTCGCTCCCACATGGTCTCAAAGACCATCTTCTCTCGTAGCCACGTTTTTCGACCCGAGATTGCATCTGAATCGAACTCGTGCGATATGGTGGGTGGCGCAAGAACAGGAGATCATCGAGATTGTTTTGTGACGATGCTGTTCGTTTTTGGTAGAGGTGTCATCACTGTGGTGTATGATTCACCATTCTATCACCATAAAGCAAATATCACCTCGCCCACTACAACTTGTACGAATAAACAGCGATAAGGGCGCACCATGGATGGTGGCATCGACCTGATCGCCGAACTCACCGAGGAGAAATGAGTGAATGTTCTTGATGTTAGGGCTACACTCGCTTTTGAGGGATTGTACTAGTTTTTTGAACGAGCAGCGGAACGAAGGGCTGTACAAACAGCTCCTACAGGACTTATTCAGCAGCATCACCAGCAGAAGTACGAGCAGTGGTATGGACTGTAGTAATGCAATATGACGTCACCTAGGTTCTCGTATTAAATCTTTATTTCATGACTAAATTAGCGTGCGTGAAAAAGAATGAAGTATAAAAAAACTAATCTCTACAGTACATCTCTTCAGACTATCAGGGCAGAACAACCACACGGAAGTGAGAAACTAAGCCGTAAGAGAGGTAAGATAAAGCTTTTGACGTCAGTCCTCACGTTTTGGAGGGAGCCAACGCAATGGACTTCCAGTCAGAATGGAATGGAACAGATTCTGAATGAACACGAACCATAAAAGAGTAGAAATGAGCACTCAAAGACCGAAGTAGTTAGTGACTCAAGCGAGTGTTTAAGAAATTATTGAATTCCTCATTGGATACTTAAGATAATCGAGAAAATTCCATGTTTGCAGAACTCTCGAAACAAGGGACCAGCGCCAAGGGACCAGAATAAAAATGCTATCTTCCAATAGGACTGATATAATCCTCCTACTCAGAATTGATCGAAACCATATAATTACCTGATACACAGCCATATTTGGAGCTTTCTTTCTTCCTATCAAAATTGTACAAGCTTGTTGAGTACTATACTAGTCAACTATCTGTCAGTGCGGAGTAAACAAAGTATGAGCAGATAAAGAAATTGAACAAACAAGGAAAAGCCACAACAATGCAAAAGGAATCCTGTCTCTTCGAGCTTTATGGATGGCAATGGAATCCTAGGTATAAGCAACAAGAAAGACTAGAGTTTTCTAGAAGTCCCTAACATCTTCTGTGAACTCTTTTGTACAGAGAACTAGTACGAAGTGGAGTGACTCTCGTCTGAGTGGTGTGGCTCTAACGATTTCCCAAACGCTATTGATAGTCCCTCATCATATTTTAGTGAAAGGCACTGTTTAGACATTCAGGAATTCTACCTAGCTCGGCCGTTAGAATAATAACGGCTCTACAAGAGACGATTCGTAAAATCAAGCCCTGGTCCCTCAACAAAGTCAAAGAAGTGGTAACCGTGGTCGCTACGACGGCGGCGGTGGTACCTAGCTCGGCCGTTAGAATAATAACGGCTCTACAAGAGACGATTCGTAAAATCAAGCCCTGGTCCCTCAACAAAGTCAAAGAAGTGGTAACCGTGGTCGCTACGACGGCGGCGGTGGTGGTAGCGGTATAGGTCGGCTGTCACTCGACCAGGTTGATGTTTGCGCAACGAGAGCATATCGAATAGTAGCCGGCTGGAAGGCTGGCCGAGCGCTAGCTGCTATGTGCGAGGAGTGATCCGCTACGAATTTGTAATAGGATTACGGGACCAGTCCAAAAAGAAAGAACTCAGTAGGGCAAGCACTGGTACAGGTGACGCAAAAGGTGTTCACCCGTTATTTACCTTGAAGTGCAAACCATCCGCTCCCTTGTGGCTCGACTTTCCAGTATCTTTCTGCCGTTGTTTTAAAATTTCAACTCTGAAAAAACCGAAATTCTCTAGGGTTCCCAATAACTGTCCCAGATGTGCTCACAAGCTAAAGACTTAAGCAGCAGGGATTGAGCCAAAATCTCTCATTTGATATGCCGCAAATGGACAGTCTCTTTAGTAACAGTAACAGCGAAGCATATGAGATTTCAAGTTTACTGATTTTATGCGTAAATTATAAGACATGGACCTTTCCCACTAAGGGCTTCACTACGGAAAATGCACAGAAAGCGCGAAAATATGTCTTACCCTGCACTGGATTTTAATTCACAACCTCTTACTCCTTTGGAAAGGGTTATGTGTCTTTGGGTCGATTCCAAAGTAAGAGCAACTCCTAAACCAATGAGTTGTTGTTCAGCAGTGCTTGCCCGATGTACCTACTTTGAAGAAGTGAGGATCTAGGAAGTCACACTTGCTGCATGTCCTATTTGGACTGTTCATCTGCTAAGCTCCTAGGAATTAGTCCTGAGGTGACAAACGAAGCCTATCAAAAAAGAAGGAGGAAAACTGAAAGGTCCGCAAGGCACATAGGAAAAAGATAAATATCCTGATTCCGTGGAATCGAAGCTGGACGATAGTGGTGGAACGCCCGACACCTATGTAACATACATAACACCTTCAGTTATTCCTTTCTCAATAAACATCAAAGCATCTTCAGAAACTGAAGCTTCAGTGGAGCATTGAGTACTCTAAGGAGGTGCCATTATATCGCACATGCACATTTTGCATATAAATCTGTAAATGTTATTATGTTATGAGACAACGAAATCGAAATTTGCATGCGATCAATCGATATCGATTTTATTATTTGGAACGACGCTGCAGAAATTTTTGATATCCCACACTCGTAATGACGAGGAAAGAAGCTAGATTGTGCCGCTGAAAATTTTCCGAGATTGAATGATAAATGAATGAACAACAATAAAACGGCGTAATGGAGATGCGCCGGTCAGATTACAGGTTGGCGGAAAGATCGGTTTTCCATGATGCTAAAACTAAAGTAACTAACTAACTTCGAAATTCTTAATTCAGCTTCATCGGAAAGAGGTGTCTCTCCTCTTCCGTCAAAGCAATCCTGTCGACAGCTTTGACGGCCTGTCGAAATTGAAACTCAGCTTCTCCACCTGATTGTTTGACTATTATGTCGGGTGCGATGGACGGTGAGAAAAGTGCAAGAAATCCGGCCGTAGTCTGTCCAGTTCACTGGCACTTCGTCCTGGCCGCTGATCAAGAAGGAACTAGACGGCCGACCAAGCAGCCGGCAGCAAACACAGCGTTATGATAGGGTGTCGATGAGCCTGGGAATTTGCATTAGGCAGGTTTCTCGAAAGCAATACGGACAGGGAGACTGCTTACAGACAACGCAAGGATTCCGATACTGCAAGGGAAGTCACTCCAAAAGTTAGCTCTTCATTGTAAAAGGACAAACTGAGGGCAAAACACTTGAGAAAGGCTAACTGTACGTTAGCACTCGAAGGCGGCTACGAGTGTCTGCTGCAAAGAGTGTCACAATGTCTTCACAATGTTTGAANTGGGAATTTGCATTAGGCAGGTTTCTCGAAAGCAATACGGACAGGGAAGCTGCTTACAAACAGTGCAAGAGTTCCGAAACTGCAAGGGAGTCACTCGAATGGTTAGCTCTTCATTGTAAAAGGACAAACTGAGGGCAAAACACTTGAGAAAGGCTAACTGAACGTTAGCACTCGAAGGCGGCTACGAGTGTCTGCTGCAAAGAGTGTCACAATGTCTTCACAATGTTTGAAGGACCTTTTTTCATCAATTGCTGACCGATTGACGGCTTATGAATCAGCTCGATTGACATTCAATATTATTCTACAAGGTGGCGTCATTTTCAGCATTCAAGGGAATCTATCAATGGGACGTATTGAACGGCTGGAACCGGTGTTTCATGGATCAGGAGATGTATAAAGTTTGATACACTTATGAACTTCGAGTGAAGTGAATCCACAGCTCGAGTTGGTGGCTTCATCTGCTACGTGGCTATCGAAGTAGATTCTCCAAAGTTCCGCTTCTGTAACACACTCGAAGAAGAGTATCTGAAGCCAAAACCCGACTACGAAGCAGGCTCTCACATTAAGAGCTGAGCAGCAGAATTTCTATGGTCACCGATCGGTCCCTACTGTGACACGTATATTTAGAAGTTCCAATACTCTGTGCATAGACGTAGTATGTACCCAAACCAAGGTCCAGTCTCTGAAACCTTTATTCAAAAAAGTGCTCCCATGTCCTGTAGGGGCATTTGAAGAGTGTCCAGAGGCCAAGAATCTGAGCTAGGCAGCCCAATTCCCTATCCCTAACAAATCCCCAACAGAAACGTTGCTGAAACCTGTGCATTTGATCGAACGAGTGACTGGTAGAAGTCCACCATAGAAGGGCTTCTATATGTACTTTTATCTTGGTCGACTTTTGTTGTACCACCTGGCACACATTTATCAGTGCACTTTGTCAATAATTACTCTTTCTTATCAGCTCGCTACTGGCCATAGGGCATATCAATCGTGGTTTTATTATTCTACTACTGGCAGCTACAACTTCAGAAACCCAATAAGTAGTGAAGCATTTTAAAAAGGTCAGACTGCAAGAGTAAAATCAAGAAAGTATGTGTTCAAGCCAAGAAGAGAACGATGTCCGCTAGCCACCCGATTCGTCAAGAAGATAAAGGATAGGGTCTATAGCATTAAGCGATCCTTTTCTGGGGTGTGCCTCCGCAGTTGTCGTCCGTTCATAACCGTGAGGCGTTTTTAATGCGTGTGTGGCCAACTATAACTTGCGGTGGCCAGCAGCCTACGTATAAGTCAGCGCTTGTAATCGTCCCAAACGAATCTGATACCCACAATTCGACCCTTAAGGGTCTGGAGGAAAAATGCAGCAGCATGTAAGCATGTCTTCCTTAGTTGGGGATCCAATAAGTGTCCGTTTTGCAAGTGTCAGAAGCTTGACAAAACCATTTTGGGAGGAATTTCATCTTGTAGAAGGAAGTGACATCGCTCATCGAAAAATTCTCAATCGGGAACTGAACACTCAGGACACTTATTTGTACACCTAACGCGGCTGGTCAAGAAATTATAAAATCGCTAGCTTCGATCTGATAAAAAGCATTCCTTATAAAAGAAATGCTTCGATCGCCGTTATCATTACTCAGCAGATGCACGAGAATGTGATGAATGTTCAACAATTGAGCTTTGTAAAAGAGGCCAAGATGAAGCGATTGGAGAGAAGAGCTTCGCATTCTACCGAAATGTCAGCTAACATTCTTTCTTACTTGAAAACATTCCGTAATGAAAATACCTTTGCGGGATCCTTTCGAGATGAGACACTACTAGATTTTGTTTGACTTCGGAGAGGCATCGTTCGGTACGCTTTCACAATGATCGTAAGAATCGTGGGCACGACACTCCCATACAAGCCAAAATGGAAGACCCAAAACAATCAGTTGAAAATCAGGTAACTGCGCAATCGCTTACTGATACCACTTCTAGTGCAGTGATACGACCGATCTGTTTCTGTTGATTCCTACCAGAACTTCTCGGCGAAATTTCAAATAACCACGACTAAACTCCATTCTAGACTGTAAGACAGGCCAACGTATCAGCTATGGTATCTCGCACATGGGGCCTAAGGTGCTAAGGTGCCCATCCACAGATGGTGCCCATCCACCCTACCATTCGAGAAGAAACCGTTGTTTGCAGTTCCCAGATCAACTTTCGCTAAGTCCAGACGATCACCGCTAACATTGCCTCTAACGGCATACTTCACCATGAATGTGGACCCACAGATTAAACCTATTTGAAGAGACTCTGACTTCTGCACCGTCGGTTAGACATGCAAATGTGAAAGACTACTGGAGCAACGCAATGAAGTTTGCAACCTTCTCGTTCACTGCGATCAATTGGATGGGGAGAAAGTCTAACAAATTTTGACTCTTCAATACTTTCCATGTTGGCCAATTTCGCCGTGGTCATGATGTCGAACCATCAGAAAGAGTTGCTTCACAGTATCAGAACCAATAAGGTCGTGGATTCTATATCCAAGGAGGCTGACTTGTGATTATTCCAATAATTCATCCATTCACATATACCCTTCTGGAGCAGAGGCATGGCAGCAGGATGTAGGTGAAATTAAATTATCCATAGG